TCAGTATCAGCTGATGTGGCTCGTTAAAAATTGGCCATCAGTATTGACCCAAAAAATCTCAATCAGTACACCCCTACCCATGGAGCACAGGTTGCAGTACAGTTGGATCTGAAGCACTTCAGGTGATTTTTTTCTCTAAAACTCTTGGCAAACCACCTACAATTCTATAGCACATATTACTTCATCTGCAGAAAATTATCTTAAAATGACACATGCTCTTGGTAAGAAAATGTTAATTGCTGTAGTGAAACCCACTTCAGTACCAGGTCATGGATCGTTTATAAAAAGGTAATCTATGCAGTTGACTCTTCACAAATGTATTGAACAAACTAACAGATGACACACAGAAAGATCCTGTTATAAAAACTTTATGCAAGATTTTACGTGAAGGCTGGCTTTGCAGAAAGGGAATTCTAATAGTGCAACCTGGCTAGCTTATGAAAGATAGTATTTCATTACAACAAGGTTTATTAATAATGAATAGTTATATCATATTTACTTGAATGCAAGATGAGGTTTTTCCCCCCCTGATTGCAAAGAGAAAAAAAGCCCTTCATTTTATAATTGCATACAAAGAAATCTCACTAAATGCACTGTCTAACATTAAACTGCTGTCAAAAGCAGCGTGTGATCAGCAATGGAAACCAACTATGAAGTACATTAAATGCCATGAACGCTGAGCATGACTATAAAACACATGGCCCATCTTGGACAAACATACTGTTGGAAACCTACCACAATGACAGGTTAGTGCAGCCCATCTGAATAAGACATGGTAATGCCCATTAAGCACAGTCTCTCTCACCACCAACTCTTTTTCATGGTGAGCCATGATATTGTATACATTTTGGCTGCTTGCAGACGTGGCGGGAAAAAAACAGTGCTTTACTTTCAACATTGTGTGCTCCCATGCTGAGCCCAACACATGGCCAGAAGAAGCAGTGCATTAGTTGCACCCAGATTTCCCAACATCTGTAGAGATCGGGCACTTTAGTGCGGCTTTTTTGGCACTTTCATCTAATAGCTGATTAAATCAGCTTTAGCTTAAAGTGCCAAAAAGCCCCGCTAAGCACCCAATCTCTGCAGGTGCTGCGGAGCCAGATTGAAGTAATGCACTGCTGTTTCTTTTTCCTCCCACGTCTGTCAGCACCCTTTGTCTTTCTCTTCACTCCTGTATCTGAACTGTGACTTTCTTTCCCATTTCCAGTGATTTCTGTTTCTTCACCAGGCTTTAATTCCTGGCAAACATCATCAAGTGAGGCCCCAAAGTGTTCACCAGAATCCTTCTGTCACTCCCTCTATCAGCCTGTCCATATGATTAGTGTAGTCCTGCCATGAGGTGAAGCTGGTCCAGGTTGTCCTACGCCTCATCTGCATATAAATTTTAGGAATATCCCCGGACTCATAACAAGAACATGCAGTTCCAGTTATGAATGGGGGCTAATTATCACATGGATCATTTTGGGGGGGTGGGGAGGGGGCAGTCCTTTGTGATTTGAAATCCTGTTGACTTCGGTGGGGCCCAGCCCAATGAATTGTGAGGTAAATCACAAGACTTTGGTTTGGACTACTATGATACATACTTATAAGCAGGTGCCAAAGTGCTGCTCAAAAGTGTGTTTATGGAAAACTTTTGCTAAAACTTGCAGCAGTTTCTAAAAGAAAGGTCATGCATCAATTCTGGATGAACTAAGTGCATGGGTACTATATGCAAGTAGCTACAGCCATGTTTAATTTCAAGCTCATTTTCACATGCTCAGGGAGAGCAGGGTCTGACAGCAAGGAAAAGGGGAAGGGGCTGCCAGGGGAAAAAGGTGGGGGGAAGCAGAGAGCAAAGGAGCTCCTCACCAGATTTATTTTCCCCTACTGTAGCTATAAGACAGGGGCAAATTAAAAGCAAAACTCCAATATTTAGGTTCAATACCTGAAACATTATAACCAATTTATAAATTTTCCATATATAGAATCCAGTTGGAGGGAAGGTTGTCTTATAATCAGGGTCGTTTTCTATTCAAGAAAATAAAATCATAGAATCATAGAAAATTAGGGTTGGAAGGGACCTCTGGAGGTCATTTAACCCAACCCCATGCTGAAAAAGGGACCATCCCCAACTACATCATTCCAGCCAGGGCTGTGTCAAGGTGGACCTTAAAAGCCTCCAAGGATGGAGATTCCACCACCTCTCTAGGTAACCCGTTCCAGTGCTTCACCACCCTCCCAGTGAGAAAGTTTTTCCTAATATCTAAATAAAACCTCCCTCCCTTTTTGTAACTTGAGACCATTGCTCCTTGTTCTGTCATCTGTCACCACTGAGAACAGTCTAGATCCATCCTCTTTTTGAGCCCCCCGTCAGGTAGTTGAAGACTGCTATTAAATCCCCACTTGGTCTTCTCTTCTCCAGACTAAATAAACTCAGTTCCCTCAGCGTCTCTTCATAAGTCATGTGTTCCAGCCCCTGAACCATTTTTGTTGCCCTCTGCTGGACTCTCTCCCATTTGTCCACATCCTTTTTGTAGTGGGGGGCCAAAAACTGAAAACAGTACTCCAGATGTGACCCATCCAGGCGAGCACAAAACAACTGCAGATGCTTCCTCTGCCTGAAGAAGGGTGTTTGTACCGAAAAACTTGCAAAGAAGAATTTTTCCATCTATTTTAGTTGGTCTAGTAAAAGATATCACATTTACCCTTGTCTGCCTATGTCTTTAGACCAACATGGCTACAGCAAACACCCCAATGGGATCTAATGCATGATCCACACAACTGATTTCCACCATGCCACACATGCACGGCAGGAGGCACAATTGTGGGGTCATGCATTAGATCCCATTGCACCTTGTTGCCATTTCAGACGGGAACCCAATCCTGGGCTCCCCCTGCATTGGCAAGAAGCTGGCTCCTGCAGCTGGGAGCTCTCTCTGCTAATGGGACTCTCAGCCATGGGGACCACATAAAGCCAGGGCTGAGAGTCCTACAGCTGATTGGGTTCTCAGTCCCAGCTGTACCCCATGCACAGCTGGGACTGAGCCCTGTCAGCTGGTGGACTCTCAGCCCCAGCTGTTAATGGCGTACAGCCAGGATTGAGAATCCTGTTATCTCTGAGACTCTCAGCTCCAGTAACTGTGGGGTACTGCTGTGATATTCTGTCCTGGGGAGTGAGTGGAGCACCCGATGGCTGGAAGATCTCAGTGGCTGGGAGATCACTGCAGCAGCAATCTACCAGCCACTGCATGGAGTGCCCCCCCATATCTGGGAGATCCCACTAGCTGCGACCTCTCAGCCTCGGGGGCATGTTGTGCTTTTCAGTAGTTAGAAGATTGCAGCAGCTGTGGTCTTCCAGCTGCAGACTGCCTACTTGTGCAAATTAAAGCTGGATAGAAACCAGCTATACACTTATGACACATTTTTGAGCAATACTGTTTTAGCTGTTTGGACCTTTTTTAAGTTGCCTTAGTTAATTTGCATGTGTAGCCAGTCTAAATTTATTGTGCAATTAACAAGGTAGTAATAGATATAACACATAGTGGGGGCCTTTAGATGCATAATACATGCAAACAGCACAGTTTGCTAGCCCATAGTAACAGTCATGTTGAGAGTCTGGTTAAGAGAAGCAAGCAGATAGGATATGAAGTACATAGCATCTTTTACAATGGCATAACAGATACACAGCAGACATCTATACTGGAAGAATCTTATGAATGGCAAGGATGCCCATACAGAAAATCAGCTTGGCCCAAGTTGTGCTCCAGCTGAGCAGGGAGGCATGCTTTGCTACCCCCTGGCTTCTGGCCTAGACCACTGCAGGCATGGAGCTGCATTTCCAGAATCAAAAGCAAATAAATGTCTTTTCACTTACTTATCAGTTCAATCTGTGCAGTTTAAACTAACCTGTGAAGATTGAATCAATTCTGCCTTGGACTTTTTGACTTTTTGACTTAGCCTTTAAAATTAAATTGTGCATACAGTATACAATACCATTTTGAAGGAAAGAGATTTACTGCTTGAGGGTGCATGGCACCTGAACTGGTTAAAACATCCAGTATAACGGAGCTAAGCTACTGAAATCTTAAACCTGAATGAAACAGGTTTAAAGTTACAACAGTTTAACTTCCACTGGTACAGAATAGAGTAGACAGATGAAAAGCACTATATTTTTAAATAACTTTAACTGTTCATCTTTCCACACCCTTATGTATGTAAAATCAGCCAAAACCCTCCTGTTGGTAGGATCTAACACACGGAATAAACATGAGCTTAGAGTCTGCACAGTTGGAGTACCTGTAGAAGTAATTTTGTCTGGTATTTAACAAAGAGTTCTGGTTCAAACTTCATATCCTCGGCCATGCTCTGAAGTGCAGAGGGTTCAGCACACACACGAGGAAGTGTGGTCTCAGCATCACTGAGTCTTATAAAGCATTAGGGAGGTATCCAGTCAAGAAGACTTTGACAAGTAGCATGACAGGTGTCATTGTGTAAAACACCAAATATCCCTGGATTTCCTGGTTCACTCTGGTAAATTTATCTTACCCTACTGCAGCAATTGAACAGCAGAGGGGAATATTTACCATAGAAAGATTTTCCTTTCATGTCCTATTAAATACTGATTATCTCCATAAAACACATCTTTTTCTGATGATATGGGCATTATTTAAAATTTATGGGTCACACAAAGAGCTCCATTTATAGACCTATCCTGAAGAGTTACAAATATGCTTAACCTTAACTTAATGGGAGTAAAGCAAAACGCATGTGAGTGTCTTTGCAGAATCTGAGATTATATCATTTAAAAACAATCTTTAAAAAGTACATTATGGTTATCCTTACTCTCATCTGCCCAAAACAAGGAATTTCAAATATCTTGTGCTTTTACATTCCGCTTAGATCAACATGGTTGTGGTGTACAAGACAGTGAGACCAGGTTGCAGTATAAATTAGCATTTTGAGAGCTGGTGTTGCTTACAGCATGCTGTATTGGTAAAACCACTCTATATTTTCTTCCACAGGTTTTGGTTGATAGATTGTCGGCAGATACAGGAATCTGTCACTTTTGCCTCCCAAGTGTACAGAGAGATTATTTGTGTGCCGTACATGGCCAAATTTGTAGTTTTTGCCAAATCACATGATCCCATTGAAGCACGATTGAGGTGCTTTTGCATGACAGATGATAAGGTGGACAAAACCCTGGAACAACAAGAAAATTTTGCTGAAGTTGCCAGAAGCAGGGATGTAGAGGTATGGTATAAAATAAAATAATGGTCTCTGTTTACATTCAGAATGTCGTTCTAAATCTAGTACCAAAATAGTAGTTTCTGCATGCTGCCTGGTACAGGAGACAAAAATTAGTTATAACAACATGCAAACATTTCTTGTAAGTTTTCTTATCAGATTCAAAATCAGGTTTGTATCTACCAAATCAAAATAGTGGCAATATATTTTTGCATGTGAAAGTTTACACTGGCCTTTTAAGTTTGCTTTTGTTTTTGTAAAAATGAATGAAAGGTGCAGTAAATGTTTTTATATACCTTTGGGTTGCTTACGTAGTTTGTGCGCCAAGTTAATTTTGTTTTGTAAGCCTAAATCTCCTGTAATAAAAATAACAAATGTCAGAAAAAATATTTAAAAAACCCACAACAATAAAACTACAGAAATCTAGAGTGTAAACTTGACTGTAGACACTTAGGAACCAAAGCTGAAATTGAATGGAATTTAGGCTCCTTAATGCTCAAGTCACTTATGAAAAAGGAACCTGAGCTCCCTTTTCAGTTAAATGCTCTTGAAACTTCTACCCATAAACTCATTTTTATGCTCTTTAGGCCATGGGTTTTGAGGTCACATGGGTGATACTCACTGGCTCTAGGTACAGACATTCAGTTTCTTCCAGAAGAATAATTGTTCTCCTGGTAGAAACCAAAAATGTACAAATGTTCATGCTTTTTCCCCTGGAGTAAAATAACCAAGAGCAATTAACTTGGCAACAACTGGGGTTAAATCATTCCTGGGAGACTGAATGTCTGTAAACCAGTGGTCTCCAGCCTTTTTAAGTAGGAGATCACCTTTGTCATTTAAAAGCAACACAAGATCTACCATGTGCCACTGCCTCCCCTCCCCCCCCCCCAGCTAGCAGGTAAGTCTGTGGGGAAAGAAGGGGGGCGCAGATCAAGGCAGAGGGAGAAAAAAGTCTTTGGGTGCTCACCTTCTCAGCAGGTAAGTCCTGCCCAGCTGGGGCCCCACTCAACTTACCCCTGCTCCTGCCTCTGCAGCACTGTCCCTCACTGCGGGGCCCTCGATCTAGCCCCCGCCCCTTCCCTCCCCCACAGACTGACCTGCTGGGCTGGGGTACGTGTGCATGCACGCGGTCACTCAGCCCCCCACCCCAGCCTCAGATCAACTCCAAGAGGCTCTGAGATATACCAGTGGATTGAGATCCACTGGTTGGTGACCACTGCTGTACACTTTCCCTGGCTTAGCTCCTCCTGTGGACCAGGAGAAATGTAGGTGAAGGAAAGGCTCCTTGTCTTCCCAAGACTGGGGTCCATCTGGTCTTGAGAAGGCATGTTTCCCTAAACCAGTACGTCTTCCCCAAACTGGGCAGACCCTGCTTTCAGGGAGAGGTAAAGGACTTTGCTGGCTCCTGCTCATTTCCCCTTGCCACCCCTGCCACCCAGTTTAGCAGCAAGGCAGTGATTTAAAAAAAGGTCTCTGAGAAAATCTCCTGGCTCCTTGCTTCTGCTGGATCCCCCTTGCTGCTTAACTGAGCATGAGGGCAGCAATGTAAAAGCTGGTGTATGGGAAAAGAGCTCAGGGACCTGAGTCCTGCTTCCAGCCTCCAGGTTT